GGTGCTGGGATAATTGGATATTCACATGCAAAGGAATGAAACTGGATCCACATCTTAACATCACCCACAAAAATTTACTCAAATGGATTGAAGACTTAAATGTAAGACCTGAAAACATGAACCTCCTAGAAGAAAACACAGGAATAAAGCTCCTTGACATGGGTGTTGGTAATGATTTTTTTTTAGATATGACACCTAAAGCACAAGCAACAAAATAAAAAATGAACACACAGAACTGCATCAAACTAAAAAGCTTCTACATAGCAAAAGAAGCCATGAATCAAATGAAAAGACAATCTGTAGAATGGGAAAAATATCTGCAAATTATACATCTGATAAAGGGTTAATATCCAAAATATATAAGGAACTCATACAACTCAGTAACAAAAAACCCCAAAAAACAACCCAATTAAAAAATTGGCAAAGGATCTGAATAGACATTTTGCCAAAGAAAATAGATAAAAGGCCAACAGTTACATGAAAAGATGCTGAGCATCACTAAGGAACAGGGAAATGCAAATGAAAACCACAATGAAATATCACCTCACATCTGTTAGAATGGCCATCATCAAAAAGACAAGCAGTAATAAATGCTGGCATGGATATGGAGAGAGGGAACCCTTACGCTCTGTTGGTGGGATTGTAAATTGGTACAGCTGCTATGGAAAACAGTATGGAGTATGGAGGAGCCTCAGAAAAGTAAAAATAGAACTACCAAATCATCCAGCAATTCCACTTTTGGGAATATATCCACTAACTTGAAAACATAGCTGCATCCCCATGTTCATAGCAGCCTTATTTACAATAGCCAAGCCATGGAAGCAACCTAAGTGTCCATCAGGGGATGAAGGGATAAAAGGAGCTGTGGTATGGACACACACACACACACACACACACACGCACATACACACAGTGGAATAGTATTCAGACATTAAAAACAAGGAAACCCTACCATCTGCAAAAACATGGATGGGCCCAGTAGGCATTATGCCATGTGAAATAAGTCAGACAGAGAAAGAAAAATACCGTATTATCTCACATATATGTAAAACCTTTAAAAAAAAAAAAAGAACTCATGGAAAAAGAGATCAAACTTGTGATAACCAGAGGTGGAGGGGGCGGAGGTGAAATTGGAGGAAGGTGGTCAAAAGGTACGAATTCCGGTTATGAGATAAATAAGCACCAGCGATGTAATGTACAAAGTGATGATTAGCGGACACTGCTGTATATAGGGAAGTTGTTAAAGAAGTATATTCTGTGAGTTCTCATCACAAGAAGAAAACTGTTTTCCTTTTTTCTTTCTTTTTCTTGTATCTCTATGAGAAGTGGTTGTTAGCTGAACCAATTGTGGTAATCATTTTTCAGATGATATGTAAATCATGCCATCATGCTGTATACCTTAAACCAAGATGCCAATTATTTCTCAATAAAACTGGAAGAAAAAAAGGAACCACCCTGTCTTCTGGAAAGTTTTTCCTGAAGATTAAACCTTGCTAAGTGCCCTGTTGTTTCTGCATGCAGAAGTTCCAAATATGAACACATGCCTGAAATAAATCTGGCTCCATTTTGCAGCTATATCCTCAGCCGAACAATCTCTACCTGAAGCCGTCTTTCAATGAGATATTAGTCCCTCCGTGGAGGAAATCAAGACCAACCCCGCAGCACGCTTGGTGCGAGCAAAGTTACACAGAACTCACCTCTCTGAGAGCACCCTATGCCTTGGGCTGATACTGAGACTCCTCTCTCAGTCTCTCTGATGCACTCCCATCAGTTTATCTCTTCTATGTCCCAGTCCCTCTTAGCGAGCCAGGTGAATACTAGCTAATCTCAGTTTCCTTCTCTTGGGCTCACCAAGAGTAAGGCAGCTTAGAAAGGCAAAGACCAAGAAACAAAAACCAGATAATGGTTATATTTTATCAGAGAAAATCTTCTTCCCACGTACTCTTTCCTTGCCCTCTTGCTCTCATTTCTTTCCTCAAACTATACGGATTGACTCTAGTAACCTCCCTATGGTTTCTCACCTCCCCTGCCCACTTGTCATGTACAAAAGGAAAAGTTTAGGTTTCTCATTACACATGAGACCTAGTCCATAGACCACAGGAGATGAGAGGTGTCTTATAGGCTCTCATTACATATCATAGAATATGGATAAATGAGTGTGTGTTTCCAGACATATGTCCAATTTGGGAAATAAGTTTCTTCAATGCACCAAACACGGGGTAAAAGTGAGGCCAGATACAGAAGAGAACATGCTGTTTGATTTAATTTATATGAAGTTCTGAAGTTTAAGAGCCAGCAAAACTAATCTATCGAGATTATCAGAAGAGTCATTGGGGGCGAGGCGCTGATTGAGAAGGCACGAGGGAGCTTTCTGTGATGATGGAGATGGTTTATCTTTTTACTGGGGTGTGAGCTGGTGAGCTCCCCAGGTGGAGACATTTGTCAAGGCTCACCCAACTGCACCCTGAGGACCAAAAGAAGCAGCAGTGAAAAGTGGCCCTCAGAACAACAGTTATAGTCTGGGCAGGGGGGCCCTTTTGTCGTAGAAGAGAGAAGGGAATTTCCATATATGGGAAGTTCCTCACTAGGCTGTCTATGCCATTGAGAAACATAAAACGTCAGCCAATTTTCCAGACAGTTTCCAAGTCCAGGGACGTTTTTCTCCATGCACACACTGCCTATGTCTTTTCAAATGTTTACAGGGTATTTAAAAAAGTAGTCCTTTGGGTGGCAGTTGTAATTAGGAAAATGGGCAGTGAAAATTAACACATACCGTAAAAGAGAGATGATTGCTCCATCCCATATACAGTATTCTTACCACATGGTATTCACCGAGGAATCCAACTGGTCCATGCAAGCTCAGTCTCGTTCTAGGGAAGATCCCCCCTTCCTCGTTACCCTGAGGATGAGGCTGCCGCCACCCACGAATGAGATGCCATATGGTACTTAACATCAGAATCAGAATGAGCTTGTGCTTTTTGTGTGAGATACTGAAATTTATTAGAAAATCAGAAAGCCTAATTTTCACCAAGTTCCTGAGACCTGCCATCTGCTGCATGAGAAAGAAAATGGAGTTGTTTTTTTTTTTTTTTAACCATTTACTTATTGTGAAATGTAAGAGTGCTGGCGTGTTTGCAAAAGCTGGGTTGAGGGCTCGGGGTGGGGGTGGTGCGGGGTGCAAAAGAGAGAGCCAGAGCAGGCCCACTTGGCAGGGGAGAAAAGACTGTCAGCTGAATGGTGGTGGGGGCCTGGGAAGCATAATTATGGAAATCACCTAGTCCAGAGCCTTTTCTTCTCCTCCTGAACACATGTTCCTTCGGCGCAGGAATAGCACAGAGAGAGGCCAGCTTTTGAGAATAAGCAGTCTCTGTTTCAGAAAGGAGGAAGAAGGGTCTTAAATAAGTACAAGTGTGTCAGAGTATTAGGTCTTTCTGTGGAGGGGGTGGTGTGTGGAAGACAGGAGGAGGGGTGACAGACAAGGGAGCCTACTGGGTGGGGAGGCAAGGGGAGCTTTCTAAGGCGGATGCAGAAAGAGGGGGGGCAGGCCACGAGAGGGATCTGAGTGGGGGTGGGGAAGGAGAACCTCCTGAGAGGGGAGAAATCTTTCAACATCGTTTGGAATTTGGCTGCATGTGTTGGGTGTTGGGGGTACAAAGCTAAAGATGCTTTGTCCTTTAAGGAGGGCATGCCAGATGCCCGGGCATTCATTTCAGGGGCATGCCCCTGTCCCTGGCTTCGTAGGTTCACAAGATGCTGCCATGGCCATGTGTCACATCCATGGGGCTGTCCTACCCCTCTGCAGAGCCGTGCAACCTCGAGGGCTTACCCAACCCCTCGAGCTTTATTGTATTTACTTTTATTCTTGTTTTTACACCAAAGCCGGCATGTCTGTTAGAGGTGCTGTAGGCACCATTCACTGGACATGGTTGGGGACCGGGTTCCTTACCTCTGATCACAATACTGAGGAAATAGACCCCGAGGAGATAGGTTACCAGAGCCTGAATGGAGTGCGGATGGGGAGGAAGGTAAGGCTTTAAGGCACCAGGGAGTCTCACATTCTAACATCATAGAGTCAAGTTCTGGTCAAGGCAGGCCATCTTTGGACCACGTCCAAGGAGGTTTAATTAAAGAAGAACTAAAAAGACCTCTCAAAAGGCAATTTCATCTGCAAGGCAGTCTTCCAACAGGATCCCAGGGGCATCCTGAAAGTCAAGTTCAGGGTTCTAAGAGTGCTCTGGGGGCAGAGGGCTCTGTGGCTGGCCACCTGGGAGCATAGGCCACGCCTCTGCCTCTGTACTCTGGAGGTGCTCACCATGGTGACATCACACAGGAAGGTGACTGACTGTGATCTGTCAAATGAAAGGATGAACGACTTTGCAAAAGCTTCCTGGGCTTCAGGAATCCCGGCCTCCCCCTTCAGCCAAGCTAGGAAAGAATGCGTCATAGAGAATGAGATGCCAACCTCTCTGCGGGGGGATTGAGTGGGAGAGGGAGCAAAGTGAGTTTCTGAATTTGCAGCAAGATTAGGTGGGAAGCAAAAGGAAGCCCCAGAGCCAGCAGGATCAGGATGTGCTCGCCCTCCGAGCCTTCCCCTACAGGTAGGAAGTGCTCTGCGGGTTTATGCGGGCTCCAGGCCCTGGAGGCTCCAGGCTGCAGGTACGGTGCTGTTATGTTGGCACCTCTGGGAGAGGTTCAAGTTTCAGGCTGAACCCCCAAGGAATTAGCACCAGGGAGGTGCACCCCGAGGGGAACCTGGCAGCGGGCCCCACGCATTAGCTGGTGGGGGCAGCCTGACTTTTGACTCCCTCGGTGACTAAGGACTCAATGGTTAGCTCCTTGCTTCAAGGCCAGTGCTCAGCTCCTGATTTCCCTGTGGACGCCCAGATGCTACAAGACAGGCTTCGGGAGATGCCGGGCGTTCTTCTGAATGCCTGGGGGCTGACGTGTCGGTCAGGAGCTTGGTGCTCCCCCAAGACGGCTTCTGCCTGAAGGCAGCCGCTGCAGCAACATGGTAAGGGCCTCCCGGCGTCCTCTGTCCTCCCTTCCCATCGGCATCCACGCGTGGGGCACCTCTTGCTCAAAACGCACATTCTCGAAGAAAAATGGCTATCGTTTCCCGAGCATTTGCTATGTGCTCAGTGCTTCATACCTACGATCTCATTTAATCCTCACCTCAAACCAATGAAGAAGGGACCATTCTCATCCCTATTTTCCAGATGAAACAACTGAGGATGAATGAGATTTGGGGAAGGTGCGGGGTCAAACAGCTGGTAAAATGTGGGGCTGGCCAGCAGCCGGCAGCATTCCTCTACAACCCCAGCAGTAGTACTGTAAGAGTAAGCACTATTAGTTCAGTTTGGCTCTTAAGCCGCCTGGGCTCAGAGAGGGTAGGTGATTTCCCCAAAGCCACGAAGCTCTAAGGCACAGAGACAGAAAGCCATCTGGCTCCGAGCGCAAGCTGTTTCCTCTAAGCCCCACCCCCTCTCTGGGCTCACTGAGGCTGGATTATGTTCTGGGGCCCCACCCCCCCAGCCAACAGATGGCAGGCCCCGGGAGCAGGATTAGATATGGAACGTGCAAAGTGATCTTTGCAGGAGAAATACTTAGCTAAACTTAACATTTTCTGACTTTTTCTAAAAAGGAAACAATTGCTTCTTTTGAACACTGATGTTTCTTAAAGGTACCACAGCTACTCTCCAGTAGTCCTCAAAAGATCTGGGTGCCACTAGCCAGTGAGGGTCCCTACCTGCCTGATGATGTAACTAGTTTAAAGGTGTTGGTTCCCGAGTGTTAGAGAATTTGGGAGCTGTTTGTCATTCTTGCCCATTCCAGTCAGGCCCTCAAACGTATAAGGAGTGTGTCTTGGTGAGAATCCCCGTGAACTGGTGTGTGAGTAGCAAGTACAAAAGATCTCTCCCATATGCAGGACCAGCCTGTCAGCTGCCTCTTTTTTTGCTCTCTCCAGGGGTGGAGAAAGTCCCGTGATTTTAATATTCAGGAGAAAGCGTATTTATAACCAGCAGAGGGTGAGGGCGTTGCCCTCCGACCTATGTGTTCAGAGCCCCCAAATGGTTACCTACGCCACTGACTTCAGAGACCACTGAATGCCAAAGACCTGATGCTGGTCCTAGAGTACATGTCCCACTGACCCTAAACTCATTAAATTTTGAGATACGTGATCCCATGTGGTTATAACTCACCAGCTGATACCCCTGCGCCTTGCTTTCCTTTGTCACACACTAGGAGGCTTAGGCAGCGGGCATGATATTTACGTTGGCCTCGGCACTCTCTTGCAAACATTGCTAGGATAAACAGTTGCTATCTTTGTTAACATTGAATTGATTTTAAATGCCTGGAGATATTTAAACATTTTCATGCTTTCAAACTCAAAGCTTCAATTCAGTACTTATTTGTTCAGTAAGTATTTATTAAATACCTACTATGTGCCAGATATCATCTGGCCAGTTTAGCTGCAATACAGATAAATTATACCTACTTCCTGACCCCAAGGAACTTACAATTTAGCAGAGGAGAGGGGAAAAAACGATATGCAAAAATGATGTGAGTGTGTGTGTGTGTGTATGGGTAGGTGTATTGATAGATGGCTATGTAGATAGATAAATAGGAAATATGTGTGTGCACATGTGATGTGGTAACATAACAATCCTGTGGTAATAGGGACACAGAAGGTGAGAGTCTGGGACACAGCGAATGCCGGCCAGTATCCGGTGAAGGAAGCGGGACCGGTTCTAGAGACAAGGCAACAATGGAGCCAAGACTTGCCACGGAGTGACTGAGCAATGAGGAAGGAAACACCATCAGAGAAGGGCCATCTGTATCTGGGGAGAGGGGGAAGGCATCTGGGTAAGCCAAAGGCAGCCGCGGTAGGGACAATGGAGACATAGATTTTGATGGTTCGAGAGAGTGTTTTGAATGCCAGGCTACCGTGTGGCCTTTTAAATGAGTCACACGTGGGGGGGGGCAGGTGGAGCCAGGACGAGATGGAGTGAAGGGAAAAGACTTCATTTTGGTGTGGAACTGGAAACACAGCCAAGCAGGGTGTACAGTGTGTTCCCAGAAAGAGCTGTTAGGGCTCAGACCCCTCTTCTTCCTGCTGGCATTGGCCTCTCTCCCTTTAAGAAATCCCCATACAGGGGCGCCTGGGTGGCTCAGTCGTTAAGCGTCTGCCTTCGGCTCAGGTCATGATCCCAGGGTCCTGGGATCGAGTCCCACATCGGGCTCCCTGCTCCGCGGGAAGCCTGCTTCTCCCTCTCCCACTCCCCCTGCTTGTATTCCTGCTCTCGCTGTCTCTGTCAAATAAACAAATAAAATCTTTAAAAAAAAAAAAAAGAAATCCCCATACATAAACATCCAAACTTGTAAGTTTTGAGCCTGATATTTGCGAGACAGAAGGATTCTTTACTTGATGAAGATTTTTTTTTTAAAACCGAGTTCCCTTGGTGCTTTCAAATCTAATCCAATCATCACACTCCTAGGTTAGGTGTCCCCGTGCTGTGGAGATGGGTGGCCTGCATGGGTTGTACTATCCTTCACCAAGCAGAGGCATTTATAAGCTTCTTATTTAAAAAAAAAATTTTTTTATCTGAAGGAGGAAAGTAGGAAGATTGCAGATTAATGAGCAAACCAGGAAGAAAACTCTGCTAATCCCATTGCTCTTTCTTTATTGTTAGTTTTTTTCTCCCTTTATTTTCCTCCACTTTTGATGTCTTCCTCTGCAAACACACCATTCCTGACTCATTTTTATAAAGAAAAGAGAATTGTCCTTTCCCTGCCTTTTCGACATGGCATGAGGCGAGTGCCCTTCCTGGTCCCGGTCTCGAACCCCATGCCCCTGTTGTGTTTTTGAACTCTTTGTTCTAACCAAACGATTCCCCATTTTGGAGATGATTACAATGAACCTCTTCTAATTCTAGTCTGATTTCAAATTTAGCTCCTAGGTTTTCTCTATGGAAATGACTTCTCTAAGTTGAGAAGAAGCACAACTATCAAACCAATAAACTCACAAGAAACAGGGAAAAAGTATAATTCATTTCGTTAAGAAGATGCCTTTGTACTTTTCCTAAAAGAAACTGTTCAGATGTCTATGACTGGGGATTTCGTGCTTCATTACTTATATTTTCCCTCTTGTTTTGTGTTCTAGTACAGATTTATCAACACCTGTCTGCAATCCTTTGTGATAGAGAAATTTGGTGAAGAGACCTGGGAAAAACTGAAGTAAGTATATTTAAGGAAAGATGGAGAATCCCCCCCCCGGTGGTAAGACTCCAGCGCTTTGAAGGTCATGGGTTTTTACTAACCTTTTGATCAAGGCAGATGGCTGTTGGTAGGGATATCAGTTCAAGTACCTTAGACATACCAGCTAGATACAGAATAAATCTGCTATACCGTATCTGTGTTTAAGGAAGGTATTAGTCTCAATTCCTAAACGCAGCCCGTGTGAATAAGTATTCTACCTTTAATGTCATGAATGAATTCTTATTCGCTCCTCTTGCAGAAGAAAAAGCAACTGCCTTATTCCCAATGTACATAAATGGAGCTGCCAAAACCTCACAGAAGAGGGGTATCCCTTTTGAGTTTAGCCAGAATCCCTCTTTAGGAATTCTTTTTTTTTTTTTTGAGAGGGAGAGAGAAAGAATCTTAAGCAGGCTCCACACCCAACATGGAGCCCCACGCAGGGCTTGATCTCATGACCTGAGATCATGACCTGAGCCGAAATTAAGAGTCAGCCACCCAGGCGCCCCCCTCTTTAGGTATTCTTTAGTTACCTGTTACAGTTTTTCCTCTCTGCTTCCACCCAGAAAATGCTGAACAAGGTTACTTACATCTTCACGGGGTATCCTGTCTGACTCTCTAAGTTTGTTCTCTGTCTGCCTTCTTGAAGGCTCCCAGCCTTAAAATGTTAGAGGACTGGACTGACGGGTCTCCGAGATCTCCTAGTCCTGTGAAGAGGGAAGAGTAAAAAAATAGGGGAAAATGATTGGCTTCCTCAGTTAATTGAAACAATTTGGCACTGCCTTGCCTATTAAATCTACAAAACGTTGAAATGATAATAAGCAATTCTGGTGAAGATGCAGCAAATGAGTAATTGCTGATGGCATCTTAAGTCAGTGTAGCCCTTTTGGAAAGCAATTTGACAACATGTACCAAAAACTGAAAAAATGATGAAATCCTTTAAAGCAGTAATTTCATTCTAGAGAATTTATTCTTGAGAATCTAGTCCCTTAGAAACAAACATATCTATCTATACACACACACACACAAAAAGATGAAACATAGCCTATATTTATAAATAATAAAAGAAACAATTATCTTTAGCGTTCAAAAATAACCCAAAAGTCAAATGGAATGACAAGAAATACATCATTACATGGGATGCTTGCAAAGATTGTGAAGCAACCTGCAAAATTTTATGACAATATTAAGTCCAAAAGACCAGAAACAAAACAATAACAACAAAAAAAGACACAAACTTATGTAGTTACTGGGTAGATCACACAAATGAAGGGAAAGACCAAACTAGTAATGACTAGTAACTGAACTAGAAAGATGAAGTGCTGGATCACTTTTTTTCCTAATATCTATTCCCAAATTTTCTATATTTTTTCATGGCTTTTGTAATGTCAAAACAGTTTAAAATGCTTAGTGCAAACTTTCCCTCACTCCTTCCTATTCCCATTTTACGAATAAGATAATTAGAGCCGAGAGTGCAGGGGACTTGCAGTCCTTGGGGCTAAATCAGGAGGAGGCAGACAGGCCCCTGCTGCCCGGGCCCCGGCTCCACGCCCTACACAACCGCCAACTGCTCATGCGTCATGTGTCTGACCCTCTTCTGGAAAGGCAGCCCCAGGCCATTTCCACAGCATCTCCAGGGTAATTTTCTTAAAAGCACCAGAGGTTGGGGTGGGAACAAGTAGCTCTGGCCTCACAGAGGCAAAGAATACTCATTTCTAAATATTTCAAGGAGGAAGGTTTAATAATTATGATCAGAGAAAACTTGGACTTGCTTGAGAGATCATCTGGCCCAGATCTCCTCATTTTACAGATGAGAAAACTGCAGCCCAGAAAGGTTAAGTGACCTGCTAAAGAGTGCACAGCAAGTAGGCAACAGGCCAGGGTGTGGTATCTGTTTCTTGAAGTGCTCCTTTTCCACCCCCTAGGCTGCCCTGAGGAGAGAAGCATTTGAAGACTCTGAGACTGTCTTTTTAAATTGCTATTATATTGTAAAGGGTAAACTCAGCAAGAAGAGGAAGGAAAAGCATAGTCTTATCTTAGGCACTTAACTTTGGGCCAGGATCCTTCCATAATGATCTTATTAAAGCCCAGAAGAACACTGGCAAGGCAGGTTACTGTCTCTGCGAAAAACCCTGGGGGATTAAGTAATTGAAGAAGCCATTTTGCCTGGGTGATGTAATAATCTACAGAAACACCACAATTATACCTGGAACTTGGGAACTAGGTGCCAAAGGCCCACGTCAGATGGGAAACTGGGATCCTTTGCTCTGCCACAAACTAGAGAGGAGAAGGTCAGCCTGCCAGAGGGCCAGCAGCCCCTACTGGGGGACTGTCAGTCTCAGAGGAAGGGGAGGAAGGTAGGTGTGGGTGGACACTGCTGGGTGGGTTGGGAACCAGCTTGAGAAAGAGGGTACACATACTGAGAGAAGTCACCAGGTATGGCTGCGAGTCCCTGGGGAGTCATAGTTGGTTTCAGCAGGAGGTGCCTCTCCTACAGTCCTTGGGACCCTGGGCAAGTTCCTTAACCACTCTGTGACCCAGGTGTTTTCAGCATAAAATAATGACCCTAGAAGTAGCTAAGCACATCGGGGCTGTTGCAAGCATTCAACGAGATAGGACAAACGAGATGCTTAGAAAAAATGCCTGACCTGTGGTAAGCGCTCACCAAATGTGAGGCGTGTGATTGAAGGCGATGACCACTCTTGGCTTATTTTCAAGATGGCGGTCCTCAGCTGGGTTGGGGAGAGGAGGAGGAGCCCTACGGTGTGCACCCACACGCCTGGACTGGAGTCCTGGCTCTGGGTTTGGAACTGTGTGTTCTGGAACAGGTTGCTTCACCTCTCTAAAGCTGCTTCCTCATTGATAGAAGGGGAATGATGCACCCCTCTTCCAGGGTTGCAGAGAGAACTGAGTGGAAAAATCGATCCCCAGGTACACAGTAGATACTCAGTAAGTGCTGTTTCCCCTCGAATATGCAGGTGCGACGCTAGGATTAGACTACATTCGACATTAATAGGCATTACTTTGCGGCTGGTCAGGTGACTGTGCCTTCCATCTTGAAGAGATGATGTTCCTCTAAGATGCTCTTTTTGCCCAGAGAAGGACACCTGGCTTTCTAATATTAGCATCATTTGGTGGATGGCATTGCCTCTGTTCCTTTTTCGGACTGGTCTCCCCAACCGCCAGTGTGGGGCATTGTCCAGCCCTGTCTTGAGGACCCCCATAAATACTAGTGACCAGCTTATAAGAGGGAGGGGGGACTGACTTTTGGTGATTGATTTTTGATCCACGATGCTTGTATCATCTGAATTCCTGGTTAGAACTTTGAGCCTCAGCTTCTCAGGTGGTCCAAAAGAGTCTGTTTTGCCCAGGAGAAAGGCCAGGGATCTAGAAATAACTGGAAATTACCAGACACAGCTGGAGCACTTAGACATGAGTAGAGGTAAAACAATAAATGTGTTCAGTCCGTGGATTGCGGGTGGTTGAGAGGCGCTGTTTACAGAAGGCCGCTTGCATGCCCCCACATTACAGAGCAGATGCAATGGGACCAGCCATGGGAACCCTGATTGGTTAAGATGTTCAATGTATCTTTGTGAATCCAGGGGGAAAAAAAAAAAAAGCTTTCCATGTGTAAGTAGATGGAAGTGGTTTCTTCCTTTTCGGATCCTTGGTATGCCCTCCCTGAGAGGAATGGTCCATTTTCTCTTCCTGCCCCCAAGGAGCATTTCTCATGGCATTCCCAATCAGGAAGCCCAGGAAGCCCTACCACAGGAATTCCAAGATGTTAGGACACTGGAAGGAGGGGTGCAAAAGGGTGCAAGAGAATCCGAAAGAGATGTCCAGGAACCAAGACCTCAGGGAGGCCATATCTGGAGTCTGTGTGGCTAGGCGTTACATCTGATAATCTTGAAGTACCAACCCTGTGCTTAATTGAGTCTCCAAGGATACGTTTGTATATACAGCACTAGACATGTATGTGATCGCATTGGAAACGCATCCTTAAAACAAAAGCAAAGCCTACCTAACCAGCTCAACCAGCAATGAAAATTGCATCATATTAGAACTCATTGAAAAAAAAAACAAAACTGTAGTGCAGAAAACTCAGCTTATAAAATGCAAATTAAGGCAAGATCATTTGCTGTGCAAAAGGATTTGCTTCAGGCCACTTTTAAATAACAAGTTCCCTGGTGCTTTTAAAATAGAATTTTAGCTGAAAAAGAAAAACCCATCAATTCCTACACAACTTTTAAAAAGGAATGATTAGGTAAAATGAAATATGTCTCCAGACTTTATGACATAAATTTTATTTTATATGATATAATCAGAAACAGATGTTTCTCATCCTTTGCCTGCATTGTTTATTTCTCTCCCATATAACCTAGATTTATAGATTTCTAATTATGAACCACTCTTTTATAACCTTCTGGCTAAAATCTTTATCAGGACTTAACAATGAGAAGCAGCTAATAGGTTGGGAAGAGTAAAGCCTCTGGAGTCAGATCAACCTTTACATTTTGCCGGTATCATTTACTAGCTGTTTGACATGGGCAAGTTTACTTATTCAACAAGTATTTATTTAGCTCCTAGTGTGTGCCAAACAGAATTCCTGGCACTGGGAACAGTGGTGAAGGGAACAGATGAGGACTCTGTTCTCTTGGAATGTGTATTCCAGTGTGAGGCTGGGGGCAGACAATAAGCAAGTATCGTGCTAAGTGCTGTAAAAATATAGGGTACTTGATAGTGACCAGGGATGGAAGATGTCAGTTTCTCTGAAATGGTCAGAAAAGGCCTCTCTACAAAGGTGATATTTGAGCTGAAAGGCAGGAAGAAGCCATATTTGAGTTAGGGAATCATATGTGTTCTAGGCAGAAAGAACAGCCAGTGCAAAGGTCCTGAGGTGGGACCGGGTTTGGTAAATTCAAGACCCAGAAGAAAACTCAGTGTGACTGGAGCATCATGATCGAGAGTCTGATAGGAGATGG